CGGCTTCACCAATGTCACGGTGCTAGAAGCCTCAGACCGTATCGGAGGCAGAGTGCAAAGCATTCAGCACGGTAAGACAACTGTCTTCTCATGATAACATCCTTTTTATTACTTCATCCTTAACCTTCAAAAAAACGTGCCTTTTCAAGGTGCCTCATCTCCCTTTCTCTACAGGTAAAACCACTTTGGAACTTGGAGCAACCTGGATCCATGGGGCAAATGGGAACCCCATCTACCACCTGGCTGAGGACAATGGGCTGCTGGAGCACACCACAGAGGAGGAGAGGAGTGTGGGCCGCATTAGCCTCTATGCCAAGAATGGTGTGGCCCACTACCAGACCAACAACGGCAAGCGGATCCCAAAGGATCTGGTGGAGGAGTTCAGTGACCTGTACAATGAGGTGATGGAAGAAAGCTGGTTTGTCTGGTTTTGTGCAAGAACCTTTTGGTGTAGCCTCTTGTGGATTATAAGGCGTGGATAAATTAATGTAGTACGGCCATGTTTTCACCTGGTATTATAAAGTGCTTTTGGTGATCCAATCATGAATGGTCAGCCGAGATGCATTTCTGTTTCCATTTGTATTAGGCAGCTAACATGAAGAGCAGGTGGAGCTTCACTGCAGTCAGGATCCCTTACAGATAGCGTTTCCACTACAAATGTGATGTGGTCAAATGCGTTTTTGACTACCTCCATGTGTGGTTTCCATAAAAAAAACACATCTTAATGCCAGGTGGAAACAGGGCCTATGCCATTTGTATTCCTACTTGGAAATTCTGTTGTGTGGGCTTTGTTCATTAATGGACTCACTCTACCTGAAACAGTCCAGATAATCTCAGCAGTTTTTTTACAGTAGCTTAATATACCCGCTCAACATTTTGTTCGTTAACTATACCTGCTCCTAATTGTTAATTTGCTACTTTCTACTGAAACTGCAAAGTGTTGTGACTCACGTGAAGAAGTATTTATTTATTTTTTGCCAGAGAAAGCATTTTTCACTTCAAGCTCACAGCTGCCAGAGTAAAAGTCATTTGTTTTGTGGTTGTTACCTCATCCTGAGCTGCTGTTCTCAGAGTGAGCCTTTCTCCCTCTACCTCAGTAACTAACGCAATTAAACTCTTGTTTGTGGTAAGGATAGCTTCATGATCTGATGAATCTACGATTTCTCTTTTAACCACGTTGAACAACCTCCTTTGTGCAGGTGTATGAGCTGACTCAGGAGTTCTTCCAGAATGGAAAGCCTGTGGGAGCCGAGAGTCAAAACAGTGTTGGGATCTTCACACGAGATGTGGTGCGCAAGAAGATCATGCTAGATCCCTATGACTCAGAAAGCACCAAGAAACTCAAGTTATCTATGCTACAA